CTGATGGATTTATTTTGGAATCCCATTATAATATCATCTCTTCCATTTTTCCTTCTGCTTTACGTTCAGAAGTTTTTGCTTTATTGCACGGATTGGACTCCCTTCCTCGGAATTCAAAGATTACTGTCGCCACTGATTGTGCTCAATTACTTTCTTTATGGTCTTTATATGTGGATGCTCCTTTTATTCCCAGAATGCTTAAAGAATCCAACCACCTTTTGTGGTCCTCCATACGCACTATTATGTTGCAAAAGAATCTGGATGTTACCTTGATCAAGGTTCCTGCTCATGCTGACGACCCTTTGAATAATCATGTGGATGCATTAGCCAAAGCCGCTCATACTGACTCACATCTTTCTTCTTGTCCACCATCGGAATTGATGGCTCCTTGCATTTTACAATTTAATTCCTTACCTGTGGATATGAATATCCGGAAATTTATTAGAGATATTTTTGACGCCAAAAGTCTTTTAACTCTTGCTGTATTACCAAGATTTAATTCCTATTCTTCAACTTCTGATATTGATTGGGCTTGCACCAAATTTTGTCTCAATAACAATAAGCATTTTGTCTCTCATCGGAATGGCCGTTCCGAGTTTTGTGGTTTCCGTATCAAGCTACTTTTAGATATGCTTCCAACGCTTACAACTCTTCAGAGACGAAAGCCTCATCTTTATAATCCAAGTTGGCTTTGTCCTCAATGTAATTCCTTTCCTGAGACTTTAGACCACTTGTGGACTTGTCCTTATATTTTACCGGAATTTAGCCCTTTACAAACTTTTAAAACATTACTATTGGCTCTTCGGACTACTTATCTTGATAATTTCCTTTCCGCGTCATCTTTAATCCCTTTACCGGACTCTTTTGCTGCTGAATTTATGGCTCTTAATTGTTGGGATTGTGACCCTCCTTCAATTTCCTGCCTGCGACTCACAAGAGGACTTATACCGATATCTTTGACAGAATTTCTTGGAATTTATTTTTCTTCACCTACCATATGGTCTATCTTAGATACACCTTTGCACGACTTTCATTTTGACCTTTATGTTCAAATCTGGTTGTGCCGATCCATTTTCTTTCATCATTGGGAATTAGCTCAAGGCATTACAAAAAAAATGAAATCGTCAGCTCTTGGGCCTTCTTCTATTCTTCGACCTTCCTCTAACATTCCTCTTGACTCTTCGACACCTTCCTTGGCGACAGCTTCCTTGGATTCCTGGGTTTCTTGGGTTTCCTCTTCTATAATCCGTGGGGGATCTTGGATTTCGCATTTGGATTTTTGGCGCCGCTTAACAGTTCAGCCTCTACTTAGGATTTCTTTTTGGTAACGGATTGGATCTTAGGACATGCTGGATAGTTGACTCACACTGGCCTTCGGGTAAAGATGGGGTATGCGTTTCTGTAATAGTTTAGTTTTTCTTTACTTAATTTTATTTTGTTTAGATTTCTTTACTTGTATGAATCGTGAAGCTAGTTCTTTTTATTTTTTATGTTTATTTTCTATATTTGATATTTGTAATATTGTTCGATTTGTTTATTGTACTTTTCGTTTAAATTTAATAATAAAAGATAAAGTCATAAGACTGTTTGCTCATAATCACCAAATATGGACTGTCCCAAATGTGTGACTATAAAGAGAGTTGACTGTAATGTTACGTCCACGTTATACTATACTCAACACCTCCACCATACTCTACTACTATTCGTATCACTCAAATAATTCTATTAATGATGATACTTCTAGTTAAACTGATGTCTCCAATTCTTTGGGCGATTCCTTTAGCTTGAAAAAATTGGTTACCAAGGTAGACGTGATACTACCTATTCCTCATCCAAGAGTCCACTTCATAACTGCTCCTATTTTCGCAACAAAATATTAGACCAATATCCTGCTTTATATAGGGAATTTAGTAGTGAAAATTTTGATTATTATGGCATTACTGATAAGACATCATGCCCATTATGCAGTTTAGATTATGATGATGAGAAAAATATAAAAAGTATGTATAAATCTGAATCTTACTTTATTAAATGTGAACAGCATGAAATTGAGATAACTGCATAGTCTCAATACTCCTCCTCCTGCAGGAGATGATCTAACTATTTTTTTGGTAATATATCTAACTATTTTTTTAGAAATATGATAAAAGATATTAGACAGCTTTCTATCTGGAATTTTAATCTTTTTTTCAAACTAAAGAGAAAAAGGGATTTAAATTGATCTGTGATCATAGAAAAAAGGAAATATGAGTGAATCCAATAAAATATTAACTTCCGAATACCTGGATTGGCATGCCAAATTAACTGGGTTACCAAGCATTTTGACAGATAAGATTCAGTCCAACTTATACAAAAATATAAAAAAGAAACTGGGTATGAGCCATAGCAATTATCAGAAGATTGCCTTCTCATAAATCTGAAGCCAGAAAACAAAGTATCCTATATATCATCTTCTGAGCAATATGAAGAAAAAAGGCCTATAACTTTTGAAGTCAGACCTGATCCAGAATTAATTATCAAATCTGTCTTAGAGCACTTCCCATACTTGAAATTTGGAAATAGTTTCAGTTGGATTGATAATTATGATTTTACATCATCTCAGCCGTGGAGCTCACCATGCCCTATCTGCGATGGAAAGTAAGGTAATTTTGGATTACATGGCTCATGGTACTGTGAAAATGGGAATCAGCTCCCTTATGATCCTAAATTAGTAAAGTTGTATTCCCAAGATAAGTTGGAATATTGTCTTACCTGCAATACTTCAAGCAATAAATTAAAATTTGCAATTATAGGCTTATAGCATTGGATGAAATCAATCACCTGAAATGCGCAGTACAATATCGGGAAAATTCTTGCCGAAGAATAGGGATGTGCTTTTCACAAAATACATATTTGCGATATTTTTTTCTAACACATGTTGGCAAGTGAAGATGCGCATATTGCAGTATGTAAAGGTGCCGGCGAGACGAAACAGGTAGTTTACTTCATACCTTTGGCCTGGACGGGACATTACGCAATTAAGGTAGGTTACTTTCGGTTGAGACTGAGAATTTGCAAGGAGACGTCTTCAAAGTTGCAACTAATACCTAGTTTTCATTCCAGGATTTAGCTGGAAGGTGCTGTATATGAAGGGACCAGTCGGAATATGAAGGTATAAATGAACTGGATTAAGGAATCGATTGGGTGTTAGATATGGTTGGTAGGCCCTCGGAGACTTAAGCAAACAATACCAAAGTTTCCCAACTCAAAGCACTTTCAATAAATACTCTTCGAAATTAAGAGTTTATAACCATTCCCGGCGAGAGGGAACTTTTCTATTACGTGACTGAAAATATTACTCATAGACTGAGACCCTGAGGTCCTGCATGTGACTAACACGTGATTCGTAAAAGCAATCTGTAATTTGTGAATTTATTTAATTATTATTCTCTAATTTGATATCCTAATTGTAAAAATTTATCTTTATCTTTGTCCCTCAGGACACAATCCATGACTAAATTTGATGAAAAAATTTAATATCTTCCAAAAATTCCGATTTCTTTACACCTAACTTGATAACTAAATATGCTTGTCCAAGCGGTACCGGATTATTAGTACCACTCGCTTGTAGTCCTCGAGGGATGTGGAACCCATTTGGGATGAGATTGGCGTTGCAAATTCCATCTCGAACCGTATGTAATTCTTGTATGTCTTTGAAATGGAATACACATCTGCTAAGTTCGTCCCCTTCTCTGATTGTTGTTGAGATTATACGTTGCGAAATGATCCATGGCATTGTTATAAGCAATCCATCCATAATTTGTGACCCAAGTAGGATTGGGTTTAATCACAACAACCGGATCCAATTTATTAGCCCCAGAGATTTGCTTGACATTTTCTGACTTGGGCGTTTTCCGCATCCAGGAATATATTTCTTACTACCTGTTCGATAGTAGGATACAATGACAAATCTTGTTCTGCAGTGAAATATTAGAAATGATTAGAATATTTAAGTATTGATTATTGAAAAATAGAATTTTTACCTTCGTTATCGTTTTTATCTAAACATTTTGAATTGTTGAAAGAGAAAGAAATCAATTTGATCTTTAAAATCTTAGATACAGTGGTGTGCAAAAAAAATTTTTACTGCGGCAGATCGTCATGATTTAACTTTTTCAATTTTAGTCGTATATATATATAAATAAATATGCAAACGAAAGCCTTATAATTAAGATATTATTTTCAAGTGAAACTTTTCCTATATTTTAATAAAAATTTTAGTTTATTGAACTTTAAAGTGATCTCATCCAGGCAAAAAACTTAATATTGAATATGATTACATTTCTGAAAACAGGAAATACACAGTGCTGCTTAAATATACTTATTAATAAAGTTTCTACATAAAACTATCATAATTTTTTTTTAAATTATAACTATTAATGAGTTTTACAAATAAAAAAGTTTATTTAAATCTGATTATTAGATTTTAAGATAATCACAAAAATTAAAAAAGCCTTAATTATAAATTATATATATCAAATATTTAGTTAAAAACCAATATATGTATTCTTATTTAAAAATCATAAATAATACTTAGTTAGTAATTTATTTAAAAATCAGAATTTATGATTTTAATATAATAAAATTTTTTTATTATAAGAAATTATAAAATATAAAATCTTTTAAAGTAATATACTTACCTTTCTATTAAAAAGATTTATATGTAAAAATTATCTGAAGTAATACTTTTATTAAACTCACTTTTTTTTACCAAATTCATTCATTTTTTTTACCAATTCTCTTTTTCTTTTTATTAAATTCTTTTTTACACTTTTTTACAAATTCTTTTTTTATCCATTTTCTTTAATTAGCTGGTTTTTATCTTTTTTGATATTCCAACAATCTACATGCTAAAATTATAAAAACTGGCTTAGCAACACAGCCATAATTTACAATTGGTGGCAGTATAAAATATAATCACGTGCGTTATTAAATATTGTATACATAGTTTATCACTCGATTCAGCCGAAATAAAACCTTTTCCTAAAAAATTTTTTTCTTGCCTTTTGTGACTTCAACCTTATAATGGCAACAAGGGTATATATTGGTCGTCTTGCGAGAGATGCCCGTGAACGAGATGTCGAAAAGCTTTTTCGTAATTACGGCACCATCAGAGAAATAAAATTGATGAATGGTTTCGGTTTCGTTGAGTTTCGAGACCACCGTGATGCTGATGATGTTGTTTACGCTTTTAATGGAAAGAGTTTTATGGGTGAAAAGTACGAATTACTTAATTCGCTTTATAACTTTTTTACTGTAGATATGGAATATACTTTTGTTCTTAAATTATGTTATTTTATATTAGATTAATTGTTGAATACGCTAGAGGAGAACGTAGACGTCGTGACCGTGATGATCGTAGAGACAGAGACAGGGACGACCGCAGGGATAGGGACAGGGATAGGGATGATCGTCGCCGGGACGACCGCGACCGCGATCGTGGCAGGCACGTTGCAACACAGTCCTGGAAACTTTTATTCCTCTTCCCCATCCTTGAATTTCCTTTATGCATTTGAATTCTTTTTGTTTGTTTTAATTACGTGTATCATCAGCTGAACGATTTGTTTATCTTTTTTTTTCAATCTTATAGTCGGTTCGCTCCTCCGCAAAGAAATCCTCAATACCGATTAATTGTGGAAAATTTGTCATCAAGCTGTAGCTGGCAGGTATGCAACTATGTTCCAAAAATCCGTACATTTGCCGCCTGCAGCTCTCGCTATTTGGCTGGCCTTCTGGTCCCTACTCTTATGTCCCTGGTGTTCTACTAGTTTGATTTGGCCTTTGGTTATAGCTCTTCTTTCCCGCATGGTTGCTTGTTATGGCTTTTTTTGGATTCTTATTCTTGAAAAGTCTTAATAGTTGTCTGCATCCCAAAGAATTACAATTGCATTTCATCCCAAATTTATAATTGGGAGATAAAATTAATAAAAAGGGGACAAATCGGGAACTGGCCAACGTTATCTTCCATGATTTATCTACTACTGTTAAAGTGCACCTGAAATAGAATAAATTAGAAGTTGTTGTTTCTTATGCCTGGAAGGAAGAGAGTAACTCAAAATATCAATAAGGCGATTTCCTCCCTTTTCTGGCTCTATTGGATTCTATTAATTTGGTTACCTTTACTGCCTTTCTTTGGATATGCCGACTCTTGTTCCTTCCATTGGCATATTTATTTGGTTCTTCATATATGGAATGACAAGTGCCCTAGAGGATCTCCGTATAGCATAACTCAAATCAAACCCTACTTCCCCTCCTCTCTCTACCATTCTTTTACTAAAGGATCTGAAGGACCTAATGCGGAAAGCAGGTGAAGTGACTTTTGCTGATTGTCACAAAGACCGTGATGGGGAAGGGTATGAATAATGAATATTTTAATTATTTAATCTTATTTATTTATTTCCCGAAACTAATTATTATATTAAAAATTTATATCAGTGTGGTTGAATTTTCCTCATACGAAGATATGAAGAATGCAATCAGAAAGCTTGATGATACAGAATTGAAGGGTAAACGTATTATTCTTCGTGAAGCTCCGGTGAATATATTTGATATTTTACATTTTATTGCATTTTAATATATATACATATATATATAAGTATGTATTAATTTTTTATTTGTTGAATTTAGGATAATGATATTGACCGTGATCGTGATCGTCGTCGTCGTTCAAGGTCTCGTTCTCGATCTCCACGTCGTAGTTCTCGTCGATCACCTTCTCGTTCCCCTCGTAGAAGTTCTCGTCGTTCACGGTCGAGATCCAAGACTCCTCCTGCTAATGGTAAAGAACATGGTTCTCGTTCGGTTTCACCTCGTCGTCGTGATGATTCACGCAGTCCAAAAAGAAGTCGTTCCAGAAGTGTTGAGCGTCGTGATGATGATAAGTAAGAGTGCTGGTTACTTATTTCGTATATATAATTGATTATATTTTATTAATCATTTTAATATTTTTGTTCAGGGATATGAAAGATGATTGAATTTCTTTTTCTAAAGTGGGCATTTATTTTACTTTTATTTTCAATTTCAATTATCACTTTATTTTACTATTGCTTAAAACCAATTTTCTAGGTATCTATATAGTATTGTTTGCAAATCATCAAAGAATGATCCGGATGCTGAAATTAATTTTATCTTTTTTTTTAGATAAAGTAAAAATGGAAAAAATTTTTTTCTTTAATTTCTGTATTGTTTTTACATATATATTTTCATTCGAATTATTTTTTAATACATTATTTTATTTACCCTAAAAATTTTTTTGTTTTTTTGTGGATTTGATCATCTTTTTAGTTTAAAATAAAAACTGGTACTGGTATATATTTTTCGATAATGTCACGCCGCACACCTAATTTTTTTATTTTACTGGTCAAAAAAAACACCTAAACAGATGTCGATATCGAATATTGCATGTACGCCATACTATCGTACGAACCTACCTTCGTAATACATCACGTTTAATTCTCGACCGGATTGATTGTAACACATTAATAATAATCAATTACTAAGTAAAGTACTAAAGTTACTATTTCATGCATGAAGATGTCTTATGACAAAGCCCGAAGGAATATCCCTCGGGGCACCATTGACATCTCTATCTCTGCAATTCTTACATTTGTATGTTTCTAATCCTCCAATATTCTGAATGTTTCCACACCAACTATATCTTGAATTATCACATGGATTTCTTTCTCTTCTGCTTTTGAAATCAATCATTGTGAAATTTATAATGAGACCCAACAAAGCATTTTTTTAACTGTTTTACTTTGTGTGCTTTCTATTCACCATGCCAGAAACCTCAAAAGGGAAATAACAATTATATCAAAATTCATCAGTTAAGAACTTGATTGTTTTTTGATGAATTCATTCTGTAATTGCCTAATCTTTCAATTGAACCAGGAGTTTGTACTTCATTCACATGGTATTCTTCAACAAAAGGTGCAGGTAAGATAGGAGAACATGATATAGACTGTATATCTTTCATTTATAGATGATTTTATGTCAAAAAAGACTGGTATCTTCAAAAAGAAAAAGAAAGCATTACATAATGATGATCCAGCTGTTTTTTCATATGCAATGAAACTACATGAACTTTCACATGGATTTGTTTTTGTGTTTCATATATCCAATGAAACAAAATATCCATTCATTTATCTTATATATATATAAGTTTACAATCACAATCTATCCTTTGTAATGGCTATTTATTAAACTTTCTTTTTAATTCAAAATGAAATGAATACAAATTGTGCTTTTCATCTTCTAATTTATTGAATTAATAATAAATTTAAAGAATTATAAAGATGTATAACATAAAAATAATTCCAGTCTTTTTTTAAAAAGTTTTATGCATAAATGGTCATTGTTTATCATAAAAGAATTCCACTTATTTATAATAAAGATATCAGTAAAAATTTCAAATTTATTGGTAATTTTACCAGCAATTCTATCTCTTAGTTAACTGGTTTAAAAAGAAAAAAAATCAAAACAACTTAGTGTAATATTTTCTTTTTTATTTGTAATTTAATTTATCTATATATAATAGGATTCTTAACCTTATGATTTCAATGTATAGATGGCTTTGAAATTGATTTTTATAATAAAATTATATTTTACCAAAATCTGAAATCTGAATTTATTTTCTATAGTAAATGATTTAATTTATTTAATAGCTAAAATTATATTGAAATTATTTGAATTCTTTGATCTAAAATATATTAAATAATATAATTACTTTTTTTTATAATTTTTTTACTCAAATTATTAGGGCAATCATCACTATTAGCTAGAATTATCAATTTTCACAAGACCTGTCTCTTATACACATCTAGATGTGTATAAGAGACAGTTACTAGACTTATCATAATTTCAATTACCAGTAATCTTTGGTAATAATTAGAAAATTCTTTTTTATATATATAAAAAATATTATTTTTGTTTAAATTACATTTTTTCAAAAATTAATTTAAATCATTTATATTTTAGTAATTTCTATTAAAAGTAAATAGGATTCTATCATAAATCTTATTAAATTTAAATGATAATAATAATTTTTTAGTTTTTTTTTAAATTCTTTTGTATTATATTTTCTTTAGCTATTAAAGTTTTATTAATTCTTTTATTAATCACATTTGTGAATACTTTATTACATAAACCTTTAAAATATAAATCTAACTATATAACTGTTTAAAGAAATTTATGTTTTTCCTATATATATATTTCTGTAATTTTTTTTTTTATTAGAATTTTTTTTTTCTTTTATATTTATATATATAATTTAAGTTTTTTATTAAGTATTTGAAGTTTATCCAATTTTTATTTTATCTAACAATAATATTATAGATATATTCTATTAACCTAAACTATTACTTTAAAATATTTTTTTAAAAATAATTTAGACATATTTTGATTGATAATATTTAATTTACAGTTGTATATTTTTTTTTATTTTATATTTTTATTATTTTTATTATTTTTTATTTTTCATTCTTTTAATATATAGCTATTTTTCTTTTTTGTATTTAATAGATAAAAATGGTGTTAATTTCAAAAATATTCTGAAAAAATTTATGCTCATTAGAAGTTATATTATTAAAAAGAACTATAAGTTTTATAGTATAATTAGTTATAATTATACTTTTCGTCAAAATGACAAAATACTAATTAAATTTATTTTGACAGACGTAATGTATTTTGACAGACGTAATTAATTCATAGTAATTTTATAATAAATAGTGAATTGGTCCGTTCGCCGAAATACGACGTAATTAATTAGCGGAGAAGTATAGTTATAATAGATAATTATAATTTTTGAGACCTACAATTTATCTATTTCAATAAAATCTTAAATTCTAATTATTTAAAGTTGATATTTAAACCAATATTACTGATAAGTTTATAGATTGAAAATCAGATATTAAGGAATTGTTTCTGCTATTCAAAGTTTTTTTTTACTTAATATTAAAAATTTGAATATAGAGAAAACTTTTTTAGTAATAGTAAATATTAAATAGTAATGATAGTAGTAATAGTATTATTAATATTTTGTGAAGTAAACTTTGAAAAAATAGAAGATATATTATAATATTAGTATAATATTCAAAATCAACATAGTTATAAAGATATTTATTATTATAAACTGTCAAATATTACCTAATATCACTTTAATATAAGAGTTTACCTCCCTCCTTTAAGTAAGATATGTTATACAGTTCACCCTTCCTATAGTGAATTTTTATATAGTGAATAATTTGCTATAATAAAGAAAAGTTCAGGTACGGTTTTTTTTATAAATAATAATTCTTGGTATAGTGAATTTTTATAATAAATTCTCTGTAACTCGTAATTCGAATTTAAATTCTGGAACCAGTATTAATAAAATGACCCTTGATATAATGAAGATTTTCACTATAACGAATTTTTAAAATGTTACACAATTAATTAGTGAATTTTTGATCATATGAAATTTATTTGAATATTCAATTTGCCTTTAGAAGCTAGAAAAATTTCGTGATTTAAACTAAAAAGGGAAAATATCATATTTATCTTTGATTGATAATAAAATAATCCCAATTCAGTTAATTATTTTCTTCACACATTAACGCTACTATGCCTAAAACTCAAAATACAAAATTTTGCGTACTCAAATAGCCATAGGCAAAGGTAAAATATTCCAAGAAAAAACTTTGCCAAAAAGAGCTTCCTTGTTCCTTGCCCAAAAACACGAAATATGTCTTAAAAAAGTCACTGAACCTTCTATAAAAAATAAAGAACTAGCAAAATTATTTGATGTTAGTGAAGGATGTATTAGTAATACGTTAAAAAATTCACAAAAGTGGCTTGAAATTGATCCCCAAGCACCTGAAGCTAAAGGAAAAAGACAAGTTAAGGCGATTTTTCCAGAAATTGAAGAAGCACTTACATTATGGGTATTAAAAGCTTTGGAAAATGGTGTTGATATTAGTGATCAAGTTTTACATGAAAAAGCCATGATGTTTGCATCTTTATATAAGATCGAAAATTTTAAAGGAAGTAATGGTTGGATTAATGGATTTAAAAAAAGGCACAATCTTTCTTGTTATTTAAAGCAAGGAGAAGCTGCAAGTGCGCCACTTGAAAAACTTGATGAATTTAGGAAGGAGCTTCAAGATTTGATTCGTGGATATAGTCTTGATGATGTTTTCAATTGTGATGAAATTGGTCTCTATTGGAAAATGGAACCTAAAAGAACAATTTCTAATAAACCTGTATCTGGACGAAAACAATCAAAAGATCGGGTGACAATTCTCCTTTGTTCTAATGCAACTGGTACAGAAAAGCTTAAACCAGCATTCATTCATAAATACAAAAACTCCCGTTCCTTAAAAAACTTACCAAAGTCATCCTTACCAGTAGAATATTACTGGAATATAAAAGCTTGGATGCAAGTCTCAATTTAGAATGACTGGATTCGTCAGCTTGATGCAACAATGAGATTAAAAGGAAGAAAAATTCTTCTTCTTGTAGATAATGCTCCCGTTCATGCTTTATATGAAGGTGTGGAATTAACTAATATAGAAATTAAGTTTTTACCTCCTAACACAACTGCACACCTACAAAGGTATTATCAATAACTTTAAGGTAAATAACTCTAAAATTTTAATGCAATTTTTTATTTATTACAAAGTTGATTTACTGTATTTGTATATTTGTAGGCACACTATCGAAAATTACTCCTTCAAAATCATATCAAAGCCTTTGATTTTCAACAAGAAACAGGCAATAGTAAGTCACCAATTAATATCAAAAAAGCTATTAAATATGTGGTTTCAGCTTGGAATAAAGTTCTTTCCAAAACTATATTTAACTGCTGGAAAGATGCAGGAATTTTGCCATTAGATGATACAGATTCTCAAGATGAAATAGAAAAGAATGAACATAAAGAGACAGAAGAGAATGAACGTAGAGAAATTCAAGATTTAATTGATAAACTTGAATATACATACCCTCTTACTGCCGAAGAATATATTAGAATAGATCAAGAAAATGAAATTGATGGTGAGACACTAACTGAAGAGCAGATTGTTGCCATTCTTAAAGAAAATAATTCCATTTCTGACAATAAAAGTGATAGTGAAATTACTTTAGTATCTAGCTCTGAAGTTTTAGCCGCATTTAATAAAATATTTATCTATTTAGAACAAAATAATAGTCAAGATATTATTGATAAAAGTGCACTTTAAGCAATGAAAAAAGCTAGGAAGGAGGTTTATAGAAATAATTTTTTTTTAAAAAAGCAAACGAGTTTGAACCTGTTCGTTAAATCTAACAACAGTGTTGACGGTATTGGTAATAATAATATGAGAGAAGGTGTTAAAGATAATATTATGGACGTTGATAATATTAATTTTGAAACTTTATATTTTAATGAAAGGGACTTTTATAATCATGAAGAAGAATATGAAGGTTTTATCGAGTACCAGATTGATCAGGATTGTCTTTATAAATGATTGTATTACAGATTTACAATAATTGCGTTTATTATACTTAATAAAGTAATAATCTTTGAATGTCACAAATATAAAAAGTATTTATGCACAAGTTTATTAAAAAAAACAAAGAAAATTTATTTTATTGCATATGTTTTTTTAAAATATAAATTATTGCTTAGTCAAGTCATAATTATCGTCATCACGTGATTATAAGACTTTTGATATAGCAAAAATCTTATCTTTATTCGCTATACGTGATTAGTGAATTCCCTTACTATAGTAAATCTCAATCTTCAGCCCGAGAGATTCACTATAGTGAGGGTGAACTGTATATATAATTCCTTATATAGTATTGTATATAACCTAAGATCTTTAATTACCTCTCCTTCCCTTAAAATATTGGGTAATATCTGACAGCACCCTAATCATATATAATTATATTATACTTATACAATAATTATATTATATAAAAAGATATTAGAATTTTAAATAAATATTTATTTAATAAATAAATATAATGCTAAACATAAGCATTCAATCTCTTGCCAAAAAAAAAATCAATAATAAATAAATAAAAATTTTTTTTTTATTATAAAATATAAAATAAACTCTAATTATTAATATATAATATAATCTTCTTCCACCTTTATTAATATTACAACCCTTCTTTTCATACTATTGATAAAATTATTAGCTAATTAAACTAATAATTAATTTTACTCTTTTGTTAATTTCACTTTAATTTTCTAGTTGTACAAATTTTTTTTTTGATGTTTTAATTTTTAAAAGTTGCTATACATTTTCTATTGGATTTTGATTGAAAAATATAAATGGTTAAGAAAGTACAACTACTTTATTTTCTTCTTTCCATTTTTTATATATTTTTGAACAATGCTTGAAATCATTATTTTTTATAAGATTCAGTTTATGTTATTTTTACCAAAAAGTTTATAGGTAAAAGACAAGAGATTTCTTTCATAAATGTTATATATAAAAAAAACATTCAGATTTTACTTAAAGCAAATTAATTTACCAAATTTTTTAAAAGAAAAACAATTTCAAATATAAAACCTTCTATAAATATTTAATTATATAGAATATTTTTGTTTTCCAATAAACTGCTAGATCTTTCTATTTAATTGAAATAGGATCTTGAACAATATACAAATAGGTAATAAGATACAAGAAATTAGCATAATTTACTAATAGTTCTACACATCTCTTCAGGACTAATATTATATAATGCTAGTCAGAATTATTTAAAAAAGGAAATAATCTACACTTTTTTGGATTATTCTACACAAATTCTATATTGTTACCTATTTAAGATCCTACTAAAATAATTGAAAGATACTTTTATTAGTAAAAATAATTTGTTTTCAATCAAAATTTATGTTTTTTTGCCTATTGCAATCATTTAGTTTAATGGTTTTTAAAAAGTAAAAATTTTGAAAGTTTTTACCTTTAGATTTACTAATATGTTATCTAACTGTCTTTAAACTAATCTTAATATCTTATTGTTCAAGTTTTTATTGTATTTCAGTACTAGTAGTATTATATTTTTTGCTACCAGCTTCACAATTCATTTGTCTTATATCTTAATTGTATTGCAAGGTTTATTTGACTTTTATTCATCAATTAAATACTTTATTTTAATGGTATTTTTTAACTTAATAAATTACTGTAGACTTGTTACAGTGAATATAAATTGCAATTTTTTTTATATTTCCACTTTAATTCTACTGGATAATCATGTAAAAAAACAATTTCATATTATTTATTAAGATATTTTGTGATATAAAATTTACTTATCATTTAATTCCTGATTTATAGATTGTATAAACTTATAATTTTGCAAATGATCAGAATTATTATTAATCTTTAATCTTGGAAATTTTTATGGGTCAGATATTTATGTCTGGTAGGATTTCAAATAATACTAATATAACTTATAAATAAACTTTAAATACTAAAGTAAAAATATATTTTATGATATAATTCTGTTAATATTAAAACTAGAAATGCAATTTTACTATTATTAGAATTCTTTTATTAAGACGAATCTAATGATATATATAATTTTATTAAAATTGAATCACTGGTTATGTTAAAATAAAGATACTGTATATAAGATAATGAAATTTTGAAATTACCTCTATAATACATAACTTTTAAAAATTTCAATATAAACTCTAAGCAAACTCAAATGTAAGTTGTACTCAGTATTATTTGAGTTCTTGTCTAATACTGCATTTAATTGATAGGAAAATTATTTTTAGTAATTTGATTAATAATATAATTACATATATTGTCTTAATATAATAAATAATTAGTAATTAATTTAAAACTATTTCTTTTATTATTTTAGTTATACTCATCAGCATTGAATTATTACAGACATAATATAATGACATAACAGGACTCTGAACAATACTAATACAACTCACATTTGAGTTTGCTAATATTAAAATTTTTCAAAAGTTGTGTATTACAGGGGTATTTTCAAAATTTCATTATCCTATATATCCATGTTTTTAATACAACCAGTGATTCGATTTTAATAGAATTTATATCATTAGATTTGTCTTGATAAGAGGATTCTAATGATAGTAAAATCGCATTTCTAGCTTCATTATTGTCATAAAATGTATTTTTACTTCAGTACTTAAAGTTTATTTATGAGTTATATTAGTATTATTTGGGATCCTAACATGCTATAATTCATATATTTATTAATAATAATTATGGCTGACATAATTGATTGATTTTGCTTATAATATAATATTTTAACAATAACTTTTTAATTTTACTGGGAAGTATAATTTTAGTTATAAAAAATATTTCTTTTATTATTTTGCCACTATTTTGCCTTTAGAAATTATTTCTTTTATCATTCTTATATTATGTAAATTAAATGAAGATGTAAAAACAAAATTATATGAATGTGGAGTTATAGGAGATTGGGTAGCAAAAGGTAATGATAGAAAACCAAGCAAAAATAATAGTTTATTGATTAGTATAATTTTAAAATGTATAAATAGGATGGATTTTGGACTTAGGTTTGATATTACCCTTTTGAAAATGTAAAACAGAAATTATCTTTAAATAAAAGTCCAGATTATTAAAGTTCAGTTCATTAAATTTATATTTATATTTTAATTAATATTAACATTAAAGATGAGTGAATTGAAAGTATATTAAAGAAAGGGAAACTCTTGCATTTTGGTTATAAAAAGGAGATTTGTCAAAAGAATAAAAGGAGTAATGAAGGTTTCTTAGTGAAACAATGATAAGTTTGTTAAGAAAAGAGAAATAAAGAGATTATCCATGTGATGAAAAAGGCACGTGAAGAAAGAGTTAGAAGTTATGATTAAACCAAGCAAAAGTATTTTAAGTTAAATGTTATTACACCTGGTGGCAGACGGGTAAGTACCAGAAGGAGACGGTTTAATAGTAATTTTTCCTTTGCTTTTTAAACCAACGATAGATACCAAGTTTCTTAGTGCAGATAAATACATAGGAAAATGATTACGATTTCGAATCTGATATGATTTTATTGATAAGTATTGCTAATCAACTGTATTGCAATGTATTACTAAGCAAAAATTTCAAAAATTTGCTTCGATAAAACAATTTTTTAAAATCGACCTAAATCACGTGATTTGCAAAAATTAAGCGATATATATATATTATTTAAATAAAATTTATTTAAGCATTTTTGGAGGTTATTTTATATTTTATTTTATCTTTAATTAGTACTAAAGTATGTTATTCACATTCTCGGCTTACCCATTCTAAGAAATTTTCTAATCCTGAATCTTGGCCATTGAAATCTAAATGAACGAATCTTCTTGCTACTTGTTCACAAGTAGCATATGTTCGACGTTCATGGTCATCACCGAAAGATGGTGGGATAGATTCGTATCGAGCAAAAAGTTGTGATAAATGTGATGCTTTATTATTATTATTATTTTTTAAAAAAAAGAAGGGCTAAGATATACAGTACATTGATGTAATTTATATTAACAATTTTTTACCTCTTTTAACTATATGAGAGGGCATTCCTGCAAAGGCTGCACAAAATGTTCCCCAAGAAGTAGTGCTGCGGCCTGGCACAAGACTTAATACGAAAAAGCATTATTATAGTCAAATTTATTTAATAATCTCGATATTTCGTACCGATATAGAAAGGCCAATTCTTCTTTCTCGTCATCCCTCATGATTTCCATTGTGGCCAATGAAATAGGCAATGCTTGAGGGAGAAGATTGTTTTCGAAAATTTCTAGCATTGTAAATTCGTGTAAATAATTGGATTTACTAATTTAATAAAAAAAATGGAAATTTACCATGAAAATGCGTTGCGGCAATAACTTTCGGACAATCTCTTCCACGTTTTAACAGATGTTCTATTACTCCACAAAACAAACCTGCTCCATCTAAATAAACGTTTAAGTTACAGAATTATATTGGTTATTTATAATTATCATTATGGAAAATTACCTGTCGAGCCGGTTCCTTTTCCAAATTCATCGAATATTAATAACGATCTCGACGTAGAGTTACGAAGCGCGATTGATATTTGTTGCAAGTCTATCATAAACGCACTTTGAATCTTTGAAGAATTTGTGAATATGGTGTCGCAACATTTTATTATTGCTATATTTGTAATTTTACCTTGGATACAGTTTCTCTTGTTTGCACACGAGTAAAAATTTTATCAGTTAGGCCAATAGTAGCTGAATCAGCTGGTACGAAGCTTTCAAGTAAAACGGATTTAATTTATTTTTTTCCTTTCATTTGTATAGTTTTTTTGAGCTTATTACCTTCCGATATGTGCCATGTAAGTAATTAGTGCAACTTGTTTCAAATATACGCTTTTACCAGAATAATTGGCGCCGCTAAGCAGCATTATACTTTTATATGCTGAACTTGTCGCGCTATCATTATCTACATTTTCATTAGTTATAATGCCATTTCCACCAGCAATTTTTATGTCATTGGCAACAAAAATATCGACACAAAGTTCTTGTAAAGGATGCCTTGTAAAATACAATATGTATTATTCAATAGAATAATTGTAGTGTAGCATCTGATTCTTTTCTGCCTACCTCCCTTTCACAATTTCTAGAATGTTTTCGTTTACTAAGTGGGGCCGACAATATTTGAATTTTCTTGCAGATTCCGCTAAAGAAAGTAAACTAATCATATTATATGTTATTAACTGTGTCTGCCATGTTAATTTAGTTTAGCATTATTCCTACCAGTCAAGTTCCGCACAAGCTGCTGTAGCATTTAATAATAGCGAGGCATACTCTAATATATGATCTTGAAGTTTTTGCATTATTTCAATTTCTCGATCTATTTTTAAAATACTTCAAATTACTATTAGCCCATTAGGTATTAGAAAAAAAATTTATACGAAATTTACCAACAATAAGTCCGTGTATATCTCCTAAATACTCGTCGAGTTCTAATACAATATAACGCTTTTTTAAGCAATTAATTCTCTTCGCTCATAACACTTATGATAATTATTCACCTTTCATTCTGTCATTTTTGTAATAAACTGTAGTTGCAGTGCTGAACTATAAAGGAAAAATGAAGTCATAATAATTGTCTGTTCCTTACATAAAAATAGTTAGTAATCTGATTAATCTGATTTTACTTGATAATATAGCCCATCAATTTTAAAATCATCTTCTTTTTTCCATTCTGGTTTCAATGGGACCGTAATGAGATATCCCAATTGGGGGAAATATATTACATTCAGCGTTAAAGCAAATTCAGAAGGTATAGTTGTGCTAATTTCGCGCGCAACTTCGGACTAATCGATAATTTGTTTAGAAGTTCAAATACTCGAATAATGATCGTTGTATTAATGCTGCTTTTATAAATTTTTTTTTACCAAAAAATCGTCTAATCCATCATAAGTTCTTTTCATATGATCAAGTTCCTAATTCATATTTGAATAAGGATATTAGTTACGACACAAATAGAATTCAATTTTTAGATTACCTCATCAATATGAGACTTGACTACGATTCTATTTTCTTTGACACTCTCGTCAAAATCAATCTTTTTTACGAATGTATATTTATTTATTTCTGTTAAAGTACAGTATTTTAAACAAACGATCATCGAATTTACCACATTTATATAAGATCCAATATCTTTCAAATCGGCCACTATGAATGTTTCTTTAATCTGTTTTTCAAAGAACGAAAATTTAACAAAGTATCACGAATAACATTTTATAGCGTACATACGTACCTTAGTAAAAATTTGTATATTTTCACTATGATTTAATTCACGTACGATATTGCGTATTTTCAGGCAATAAAAGGCAAACTATTGTGTATTTATTGTTAGTGATCGAAAATTTTACTATTTAAACAAGGGAAATTTAACGTTAAACCTGTAACAAAGATTGCCAATCTTTAATATTCAAATTTCCTTTCATATTATCTATAATTTTTGGGATGTTCTTTATGTTTTTAAGGCAAGAAACCAACTGTTCGGAATTTTCCAAATTATCTGTTTGTAGAAAACATTCGATAGTACGATGTCTCTCGTCAATAATATCTAAATCGAGAGTAGGTCGAAGAAACCATTGCTTAAGTAGTTGTTTTCCAGATGTAGTTCGCGTATTATTGAGGATACCTTTATAAAATTTCAATATCTTAGATATTGATTTTAAATAATTAAAAAATATGGTTTCGTACCAAAAAGAGATAATCCTTCTTTGCTTCTGGCTCGCATATGCATGTTCGGATGCGATTCATCTTCAAAGATTTGAAGCGAACTAAAATTTTGGCGAATTTTTTTAATGTTTATTCAATATTGTATATACTGTATTGCAAATCGAAAAAAATATAAAATACCATAACGCGTCTGAATTTATATGTAAGAATCTCTTTCTGTTCAAATTGTTCAGATCAAGTTATAAGTAAATAGTAAATAACATGCGACTAAAAAAATTGTTTCATACAAAGAGAATTGCTCAATTTCTGAAATATCTAAAGGTTGATCTTCAGGAATTCCTTCTGTTATTTTGGCTCTTGAAATATAACTTATTAACGCGCCAGCACAACATATCTTTATAAATGAATGTTACTTTATATTTAATTTTTAATTGTTAAGAGAATGGATAGATTTTTTTCTTACAGTTTCAACGCTTTCCATATTCACAACACATGATAATTGTAAATATGTTTCCCTCTTGCTTGATTCAAGGTTTGAAGTCACGTGGTTATATTCTCCAAAACGAACCGAGAGCAGTCTCATCTTCGCTGAAGTATATAAGAATTCAGTACTTGGTCGAATGATAAGCTCAGGTTCAACGGAAATAGAATCATCTGATATATTGTTCAAATTTTAAGCAAATAATATGGTGAAGTAACATTTGTAGTAAATTTATTAAAACCTTGCATTTTTAGAATTTCGATAAAATCATCATCTGCATTAGAATTTGCTATAATAACTGTGGGTAGAATTTGATAACGTACTATAAAATATAATAATTTATATTAATAATTTATATATGTATGTAATAATAAAACAATTTATATATTACATAAATTTAATAAATCGTATGGAAATGTTTCATCGATATCTTCCATAAGATATAATTTGGAAGTTTCCAAATTATAATAAGCACACCCCAATTTACGATTTCTATGATTTACCGCCATAATAACCTATTAAAAGGTATTTAGAATTTGTTCGCAAAAAAGAATACCATAAATTTCTACCTTTTCGCCATTTTTATTCTTAAAATCGAGTTCTTTTTCGTCAAACTGAACTGTTTGCATTTGCTCTTCTGGAGCTCTTTCATGATTTAAATCACCTATAAATGTCACTTTATGATTATTCCCGTTATTTTTTCCACACGATTTAATAATTTTTGCCTGTTTGAATGTTCGATTATCAGAGTCTATCGGAAAGTTTAAATTTGATCCGACAGTCCATGAAGGAGTGGAGACGCGTGAATCAACCGATGAGCGCGAAGAACGATCATCCACAACATTCATGATAAATGAAGTGGGCGCTGATCTCAAAGAATTATTATCATAACAACGAGAAATGTCTGAACGTTCATTTTTCGATTGTGTATGATTACTTTTGAAAGGCTCAGCACTTATAATATTGAAATTAAGTTGAGTAAAATTATCATTCAACGTTTCATTGGCTTCCATTTTTTCCATTGCTTTAAAATGAGTTAAAACATAATCTATTGATACGTTATTAGATTGTAATGATTTTACACTATTCTCTTTCGAAACATTATTATTATTTTCGTCAAGAACACTATTTTCAAAAGTTTCTGAATGAAAGTTTTCATGTTGCACTGCTAAAAATTTAGGAAGGAAATCCCTTTCATTTTGCATAATCGATTCGTGTTGTTTAGTTTTATTTGATTGAAATAATTCCTCATTTGTACTTTTACAAGTTTCCGACATGTTGATAAATAAATTACAAAAAATTGCGAATCAAAGTCAATATATAATAAGTATAATTAGATCACAAATAACTTTACCACGTGATTTGTTTATAGAGATTACAAAAAATTTTATTGGCCAAAATAAACTAGCCAGCCGAAAAACTCAGCCCAACTGCCCAAACATTCTGAATTTCGTAACCCTAATTTGTTACATGATCCCTCATTTTTAGTTTTCTCCTACACTTACCATAAAACTTTGACTCTCAGCAGAGTTTACCAGAGTTTGACACTGAAGAAATAAAGCCAATACTGTTTTATTTTGTTGCGCCAACAAAAACTACTTTCATTCGCGTCGTGCTATTCTTAATAAATTTAATAAATCTTATTAAAAGGAGACTGAATTTACTGGACTTTTTTGTGTACTCCATCGTACAAAAAGGTAAGCTTCTTGTTATAATATTTAAAATAAACAGGGTTTTCAAAGAAAGTTCTATACGCTAATTCGTTTCTTTGGAAATAAAAATAAAAATATTAATTATTTATATATAATATATAATTTCACGTTCCTTTCTTCATCACTTTCGTTCCTCTCTTATGGCCTGCTATAATGTTATTAATTGCTATCATTTATTATAAACATTTTGGAGCATCATCCTTACATAAATCTTTTATTTTCTTCTCGAAGAATTTTTATACATTTTACCTATCAATTACATACTTGCATTAATTTAACTTCATCCGTCAAGAACGATATGCCTAGTGACACGCGTCCAACTCCTCAGACTGTTCAATCTCCTAACGTTGTTGATACTATTGACCCCGAACTTTTAGCACAACTCAATGCCAAAAGAGATAATGTAAGTCTTCGAAAGTGATATAATTGCTGCAATTTAATATTTGTAATTGAATTTACATCTGTTGTATTGTTTTATTCAGCTTGTCTACGCTTATGAGCAAATAGCTCAAGCTTTAAGATATGCAGCAAAAGCCTGTGACGAGTTTCAGGCACTTATTCCAAGAGATGTCGGAATTATCCCTGGTGATTTGGGCGTATCAAGTCAATCTATTGGGAGCCAAAGAAAATTCAAAAAACCTCAGATTAAAGATCCAAATGCCCCCAAGAGACCAAATACTGCTTATATTCTCTTTAGCAACGAAATTCGCGCCGATACAAAAGCAGCTAACCCCCAAGCCAATCAAAAAGAAATCGTCACACTCATTGGGCAAAAATGGAAGGCTTTATCTAGGGAAGAAAAAAAGGTACTATCAAAGTGCATAAACAAATTAGAATTATCGCGTTTCTTTATTTTATGTTCATCTATAAATATGATTTCTATTTTTACCATAGGTTTATGAGGATCGTTATTTTGCTGACAAAGAACGATATGACGAAGAACTCCGTGCTTACCGAGCTACACATGGTCAAGTTGAGTCGCCTCCTGAAACTTCTTCGAACGAAGACAATGGGGATCCTAATGCTTCAGGTGCAGCATCATCTTCCAAACAAGTTCATACATCACATCCTTTTGTTTCCAAGCAAGTACAAACTGGCACAAAAAGCCATTTTGCTTCTCAATTGCATATGTCTCAAGTTGATTCTACAGCTTTAGGTGGCCAAGTTTTACCTATTTCTGTACCGCCATCCGAAACCGATACTACTATGCTGGACTCCATTATTAGTACGTTCCCAACGGATTCGACTACTTTTACACAGACCGTATCAAGTGATAAGGCTACCACTTCTCTATCGAAGAAGCGTCGTTCTCCTGAGCCCAGAGGTGGTGAAAAGCAAGACGAAGAAGCATCAAATGTTAAACGAACACGTGCTTCATCTAAGAAAAATCAAACTACTACAGAGCCCGGTCAAGATGGTTCTGTTTTTACCCCACCTGACGACCCAGAAGCATCAACCGAACAAGATGAGGCCGTGACTGGAACCACAACTAAGCGGCAAAGGACCAAACGAAGTTCAGCCAATGGAAGCGTAACACCTGCACAAGGGTCTAAAACCACCTCCTCAACTACACGTCGCAAGCGCGGCGGTAAATCTTAAAGTTTCTTTTTCATATTCATTTTTCTTGATTTTAAATTTTTTAAATTTTTTTTTAATATTTTATGTAATCACTTTTTGTTTTTTTATAATCTACGTTTAGTTAGTCTGTATTATTATTAAATAGGTTATTTTAGTTAACAGCATTTTTTTTTTAAGTAAATAATAAAGAGTTTTTCGATACTTTCATGTAGAATTTTCACTATATTAGAACAAAGTCTTAGACATGCTGAGTGAGTATTAACAAATATCGATATTCAATAATCATTATTGTTTGGTGTAAAGATACTATACAATAAATAGACAAATGATTGACAATCAAATATGTACATAAAATCGATTTTTGATTTTTAAGTAAACTTTAACGTATTGATCATCTACGTATTTTTAGTTGTGATGGCTACGTGATTTTGAAAATTTTGATCGAACACTTAAACTGTAACAATATGTTTCAGTTTAACGACAACATATTACATTTTTTATAGATAATAAATAAAGGTTCTATAATTTTTTTTTATTTTTATTTTTATTTTTTTGCTAAAGAAAAGATTGATGATAAAAGAGAAAATTCGGAATTGAATAACTGTTCAACGTCATCTTGAAAATCCAATCTAAAGATTGTAAAATACTAACTCTTTTAACCGACTTGAAAATAAATAGACTGTCCTTTTTTCATTAGTAATAGTATAGTGATAAACGTGTTTCAATTTCCGCTTATTTTTTCTCTTGACCACCACTAGAGCCGGTTGTTGGTAACCCGGTTGCAACTTTAACATAATCATAAATAAGCCATTGTAGAGCAGTTAATGTACCAATCATAATAACACGAGTGCCGAGTCCTCGCCACATCCCAGTGAATCCAAGTTCTTTCGTAAGACGTAGAGAAAGTGCAAGAGTTGATTCACCTTCAGCTTTCTTTACATTATTAAGCTAATAACACAAAAACAAATCAATAAGACAGTTTTACTTGCATATTGATTAATTAATCATTGCCAATATTACCTTAGAAACCAAGGTGTCTGCAGGGTGACTGACAATTGCGCAAAATACACCAGCGATGTATCCACCAAGAAAAGAAACGCCTAATTGTTCAAGTTTATTATAGTCTTGTTTTGGTTTTCCGAGAGAAGCATAAATAAATTCTGAATAATAAAATTATGATTAGTATCAATTGAATTGATTTATAATTATAACAGGTTTCTTATTAAAATGATTAAATGGTATTCCAATTTATACATACCGACAGTTCTTTCGAAACTAGCGAATTTCATCATAGTGTAAGGAACTTGTCGACCCCAAAGAGGAGTAAGTCCCTTGTAAAAGCTGTCAAAAAAAAAGATATTTATACATTTTCTTAATTAAAAAGGTTACATTTAAAAAATGAGATGAAATAACAATACTTGCCCACTTAACCCTTCTTGACTCTTAATTTTATTAAAACCTTCAAATGTAGTTTTAGCAAATGGTACGGTACTTGTTTGCATTCTCACTTTCAATGCTTCCCATGGACACAAAGCAATATCGGCAAGAACTTCGGCACTTTTAAATAAATAAATAAAGTTAGCACGTGATTGAAAATAAATATGGATGAATTTGTTTACCTTGCACTGGCGGCCAAATAAACAGTCGTACGGTATTTGTGAGCAGTTTCTTCGCCGACAAGATCAGTATATTTTTTTTTAAATAATTCATAGAAACCATATTTTGCGGCACCCTGGAAGGAGTATCCAATGAAAGTAGGTCCCCAACCAGTGTATAATCCTCTAAATCCTTCGGCACGATAGATCTTTGACCATCCATCGAAATTACCCTTATAAAGTTTGGCGTCGACCTAAAATCAAAGTATTCTTTCAAATAAATTATTTCAATATCCAAGAAAAATTTGCTTTGCAGATTTATCATGTATAATTAAGCAGAAATTTTTTTTTAAAAAAAATCTCTCTTGTTTATTCTAAGGTAATATTTTTAATCTTGACATTGGGTTTCGAAAACGGTTATACCTGTCTACGGCACTTTACAAGGTCAAGAGGTGTCACAAATGTGTGAGTTAACCCACATGCTAATACACCTGCAATAGCACACGTATAATAGTACTTTGGAGTATATAACTCGATCCTTTTCTTTTCCATGTCGCCAGAAATAATAAAAAAAAAAAATGATCTCAAATTGCCTATTTTTATATAAAAATTTTTTTTTCTGATGTGTGACGAATTAAAAATTCGAATCAACTAATATCAATATATCAATGTGCATGTAGCGTTCAACTACGTGAGTACGTGGGACAATTAATTATCCCGAGTAATTCCGTTATTTATGCCGATGAATTTTAAATTTTCACGTGTGATAAAAAAAATATTTATTCAATAGTAATTATATTTTATTCTGTTTTCGTCAGAGAATTAAAAAGTCCTAATTCATTTTACGGATTAATTCATTAATACGATCTTCACGATCACCAAAATCACCGCCTTCAACATAATGTCTAAACTTCCTAGTATGCCAACCACCATTAGGATTGGAAAGCTTAAATGGCCAAAGAAAGTTATTGGCCTGTTTGAACTATTAATTTGATTGATAGATTAATAAACGATGAATTAATAAATAAATGGTTATATGTTCAAGATTAATTACGCAAAATAATTTTTACGAATCATACTCACATTTGGCCCAACTGTGAAAATCTCATGAACCAAATCTTCAACACAAATAATACCAAATTTTCCAAGATTCTGTTCAATGATAGCGTTGTCGGTTATAGGAATGCGCTGCCTGTTTACTTTTACGTATCCACGTTTGTAGATGAGTTCTCGAACTGATCTTTAAACAAAAAACTTAGTTAAGACGAAAACGTCACTTAATAAGAAAGATGCGTAAAAATTATATACTCACTTCAAATTGGGCTCACCATATGCAACATAGGGTGTAACCAATTGAAGCATTTGCTTGGTTGCCTTAGTTAATTTAACAAAAACTCCATTATTAATTTGAAGGAGGCGCAAAAGTTGAAGAATCTTGCGTGGCTTAGGTGGTATGTGATTGATACTAAGTTTTTTTTTTTATAAAAAAAAAAAATTATAAATCATAAAAAAATAAACCGCGACTTCCATTTTGTGTGATAATTACCCTTTGATACGAACAACAAAGGCCAACTTTGGTTGAGCCGGAACATAGAAATTACCACATGCCTTTGCTTGACGACGCAATCGGATTTCTTGACGCTCTGCAGCACGATATTCCTTAATGTATCTTTCAGCACGTTTGAAGATTTTTCTACGGGTCTCTTTGGCTGCCTAATTGAATAATTTTGATCATAATAAATGTATTTATTTAAATAGTAATATTATCTAATTAAAAATTATAACATTCGTTGGAAAATTGTCGTTTATCAGTCCCGAAAGATGGTATTTTGTAAGTTCAACATTGCCGAAGCTAGAATCATTTATGGGATATCCCTTTATCATCATATAAACTAATTCTCCAATAAAAATATTATTGTTCCCACTATCATATTTTTCGTTCAAGTTTCATTTTTGACATGAAAATTTGGATAAAGGAATTAGTAAATAAGAAATGATAATGCTCATATACCTTACGCTTCTCTGCGAGAGCAGCAGCTTTCTCCGCAGTAATCTTATCTTGGTTTTTCCTCTTCTTTAAGAGGGTCTCAGGGACACGGATCTGCTCAGCAGTGGGCACAGTTCTAAAACATTATAATATGAGAGTACATTACTCAATGTTAGATAAATGAAATGGTTTAGCTTCATATACTTACAACCCGGTGGACATTGTCAATTTCGTGGAAAAGAGAGAACTTTAAATACTATGTGATCCTTAAATTTTTTTTTTTTTTTTTTTTGCAAGATATTATTTTATCCAATCATAATTGGTTGATGTAATGATCATCCGATCATACAATCATTTAACATTTATTTTATTTATTTCACAAAAGATTATACAAATCAATATAAATACATAATTCGAATTTCAATACTCAAAAATAATATTTCTATGTGATAATGTAATATAATAAAAAAAGCAAGGCATATCTTTAAAATCGAAATACATTATTAAAATAATAATGAAAATCGGTTGTATCATTCGAAAATGAGTTCAAAAAAAAGAATACCCTCGCATATCGAAATGTATAAATAAATCATTTTCAGAAAAACTTCCATAAAATATAATAAATACGAAAAACTGAATAAAAATATTCCTAAAATTTAATATCCAATAAATAAATACATGGAAGTCCCCAAAAAGACAAACAGAAAGCGTCTTGAATGTAAAAAATATGTAAAAATTTATGAAATAAAAAGGGTGAAAAAATAATTGGAGTGAATCAACCTTAAACCTTTGTAAATACTCCTTCTGTAAGTTTCACACTAATTACACTAATTGAGTCTGATGGTTTGTCAACTTTGGGAACTTCACTTTTATTAATGTTTGTATTATTATTATCGGAGCTATTTATGTCATTTCCTGGGTAAACGAAACTAGTTCCTTCGCCTTCATCATTATCATCTTGTGAATTCTTTGCATCTGATTTTTCTTCTTCTTTACTACTATCTTCGGTATAAACAAAGACCATGTCATTGTCATCATCATCTGCGTTATTGTTCTCGGGATATATAAAAGCATCATCATCTTCGTCTTTAACTTGATTAACTGGATAAACAAATTTTTCATCATCTTCCGTATTTATATTTGCATTGCTCATAGTTTTACCCCTTTCGGTTAAGTCTTTAATGGAAATCATAATATTGTTATTATAAGTGGGACCTGGTGCTGAACTGGATAGGCTAGAACGAGGAACAAAAGGTTGAGCGTTAGGATTAAGATTTGTTAACATAGAAGAAGGCGATAGAGAAGGTTGATGAGATTTCTGGCCCGGTGGTTGTGGGATCGGAATTGCTTTCGTTTTACTTGTGAAACTGTTTTCAATTGTGCTATTTACAACGCTAGTTAATGAATTTGTACCAACTGAACCATTATCTATAGCTTCTACATTGATTTTAGGTTCCTCGGATTTAGAAATTTCATATGAAACGGAGGTAGAAGATGTACCATTAATAATAGATTTGGATTCAGATTCACTTCGTTCATGTTTGTTTGTAAGAAGAGATTTTGAAGACAATAAACTATTATTATGCTCTTCTAATTTATTAGGAGAGGGTTTATTAGATTGAGATCTTGATCCGTTGGTCATTTCATGATTCGATGATGTACCAGCTTCAGTATTATCTCCACCATCTTCGCTACCGATGTCAAGGCGCCCAACACTATTATTATCAGATTCTTCTTCCTCCTCCTCTTCATATTCATTTTCAACGTAAAGTGGCACTTCATTATCTGCAAGTGGTTCAATCTCCATACTTTCGTCAATTAATTGTTGTTTGGTCAAATAAACACGAGATACAAGCCAATGATGCAATTCCAAATTTCCATTACCCATGCAATCCAAAGCCGTTCCAATCGGGGTTTTATGTGAATTTGAAGAAACTTTGCGGGTACTATCAGTATTATTGGAGTGCCATCCTTCATCATCGCAGTTATTAGATTGGCACTGTTCAAGAAGAGAGAAAGTTGACGCTAATTTACGTTGACCTGGTGCAGAAAGAAAAACTCCACTATTATCTCCCGATTTACCACTAGCGTAAGATTGGGTTATAGATTTGATCTCTTCGTAATGGGATTGCATCCAAGGAATTACAACCATTCCCCGTACATCACGAAACGTATCAATTTTTTGAGCGAGGATGTCTTTATACGCTTTGTACTCATTATCTTCTTTCTTAATAATTGATGAAAATTCTTTAATCTGTTGATGGATGGTTCGGTTTTGTAAATTAGCCCATAATCTTCTTATTCTACGTACTTCAGGGGATGTAAGAGCTTTCACGAGCGCAGCGAAACTGTTAAAATTACGATGGACATTTAATAATGTGTGTGCAATTTTAACAGCATGTGCAATAATATTTTCCTTAGGATGTTGAGAACCGCGTGATGAATTAGCCGAAGTTCGAGCCATATCAGCATAAATCATGAACTGGTGAGTAAAACTATTAGTCAAGTAACGATGGAAATCCATGCATGCTTGTGCTTTTGATGTTCTTTTATCTTTTATTAAAGTCAAATCTTTTTTGAAATCAACTTTTTTGCATAATTCACTTTCAATAATGGTTAATTGTTTAGAAACATCGTTGGCATCCCAATGAAGGAGAGTAACCTCACCAATTGATTGAATCTGATTGTTAACTTGGTCGAGCTTGTTTCTATGAAAACGGATTTCTTCGTCTAATTTACGAAGAATAGCAAGATCATCTTTATTGTTGTTGTCTGAACTCTTTTGTTTAGTAATAGAAACTTTTTGATTAGCCGTGGCGAGCTGATGAGCGTGATGCATAGACTGTCGAGTAAGTGGAGAAAATGGAATAAGTGGTAAGTGCTGGGGAGTGGGATTAGCTGTAATTATCGAAGTGGCTAGATCAGAAGTATTATACGGCTGTGGAGAAGAAGTGGTTCCATTCGTCGTCCTATTTTGTAAGATATCCTCAAGTTTCTGAACACATGACTTGAGTTGAGTAAACAGATGGGCAGCGTTATGTGGTTTGGTTTTTATAACGTCTGGTAAAAAAAAAAAGGTTACGTAAACGTCAATATTGAAAAACTACTTATCATCTCAAAAGAAAAAATGAGTTATACCTTTATTAGCGAAGGAAACTTCATTATTAAGCTTATACAACAGCGCGTTAGCTGCTTTTAAGTAGTTTATGTACGAGTCCTAAATATTGAAAAGACGGTTTATACGATCACTTTTTAAACTAAGAATATTGTAGCTGATTTGATTAAAAAAGTTTTTTAAAACAAAACTACCTTAATATTTTCTCATACCTTATAGTTCCCGTTGTTATAGTCGCCTGTCGCTGTAGAGTACAGGCTCTCCCAACCATTCATTGTAACTGATAATCTAAAAGACTAAGTGAAAGAAACAAAATAATTTTTGAATATAAATGAAGCTATAACTCTCTTTTCGTCCCGTGGGGGGATTTATTAAGAGTAACGATGAACTGTATGTTGATGACTTAGTTGATGAACTTTGTTTATGTAACTCCTTGGGATTATGCATAACAGTTGCATTGGTCAAAAATTGACTGAAAGCGAAACTTGACGATTTCGTACAACATTTCACAAACTGATCCTGAAAGTCATATGATCGAATTGTACTTTTGTGGAACAAAAAAGTACTTTTTTTTCCGTCTTTATTTAACTAATATATTCGAACAAATGATCATTGAACAGACATCATAAAAAAATTGCTGACAAAATTTGTTTTTTAATTCACTAATATTTTTCCTTTTAATCTGCATTCAAATTACTTAATCAAATTCTTAAGTAGAAAATAAAATTAGTTTTGAATTAATGATAAATAAAAAATACAGGAGAAATTTTTCTTTTTTTGGATTCGAAGGTGGAAATTTATTAGCTAACCACCATTCTTTGTACAAATTATTAAAATTTCTATGATTATGCCGGAATAATATTCTAAATCATATCTGATTCAACAAGTTTTCTAAAAATTTTATTACCTTGTTATATATACCATATTATACATCTTTTTTCCATTTTCGTTCTGTCGTTTGTAGTATTTGGCGACGCTTTACCTCGGGCTCAAGAGTAACTACTTCTTCCTTATCAGTATTATTAAGATTAATAGATTGTGGTTGACATGAAGCGCTAAAATCTGAATTATTTTTTGTTTTCGCTTCAATCTCCTCTTTCTGTTTCTTTTTTTGTTTCTCAAGATATCGTCTAAAACAATTATAAGATTGAGATTATGAATAATAGACACTACTTAAAAAGTCTTTTTCTCTAAATTACAAATTCTACGTACTCTCTTGCTTGTAATACCATCGCATCTTTTTTCCATTGCAATAACTCTTGTCTTTTTTCAGCTGTAGCTTCCCATTTTTTCGGAGGTTCGGGTGGAATTAATCCTCTTTTTACAGCATCTTGAAGTTTATATTTTTCAATAAGAGATTGTTGTGTTAAAGATGTACTTATTCCTGTCGATGACGTAGAGGCTTGCGTTGTGGAAGGAATTGTAAATGATGCTACTACATTAGGTGGAGGCTTTAACAAAAAACCACGAGGTTAAATAAAATTGATGTTAAATAAATATAATACTTAAAACTGATCATACATTAATCAAACAAATTCAAGTTAAATACCAAAGGAAGTCCACCGTTCTGAAGAACATTATCGCAGGTAACTTCAACAGAACCAGTCTTCTGAAGATCATATTGTACCGCTGCGGGCGGTATGTTGGGGAACATGGAACATACTGTTTCAACCTTTTGATTGTGGTTAATTTTAGGTAATAATTATAATTTATAAAACAACAAAAGTTCAACAAAGAATATTACCTACCATTTCAGGAGTTACTGCCCTAAGTCTAGCTCTAGGACCTTCGTTTGCTACATTATTTCCTCTACGATTTCTTGCAATTGGTTGATGCGTTTGGCCTGCATTTCAAAATCGTTAAGTAAATTGTTAAGACGACGTTTATTGAACTATAAATAAACATACCCCGTATTTTTTTAATTATCCATACAATTAGACAGATTGCAAACAATAAACTAAGGAAATCATTAAACATAGCCATGGAAAGAATGAAATTTATTACACAGTTTTATTATCGAGAATCATTTATTAAATTTATTACACCGATCATGATCATATGACCTTAGTGATATACAATGTGACACTATGATCTTTTTGCTTGACTATGTTGATTAACACATGATCTTCATCAAATATATTCTTAAATTCAATGGTTGGTGCCAAAACCCTTGGTTCTTACAAAATTGGCTCCTTTAACAATGAAACTAAAAACTTATACTATTAATGCAAGAAAAACAGTTAGAAAAATCTGTTCTAAATGAATTCTGAACAGATTTTTCTAACTCTCTAAAGATCAGAATATACCTAAAATAACTGGACTGATAAGTTGTGTTAAGTATTTTATTTTTTATTATAATATTATATATATTACTTTTTTGTAAAATATGTGAGAATTTATTAATCAAAAGTAATAAATAAAAATCTAATTTTTTAAATTTTACACCATTCATTATTTTAAAAAATTCCATATGTTATTCAGTTAGTTAACAATTTGTCTATACAAATCAAATCCTTTTAATGTTTTTTCTTAACCTTATAAAACTCTATAATTAAATTTAAAAAATCTTCTTACAATCAGAATTCAAATTGTAATATTTTTTATATAAAATAATAAAATAAAGAAATTAAAAAGCTTTATAGATTTGATTTACTATTATAATAATTTACAGATTTTCTAGTTATTTAATATTTTTTCACCAAATTTACATATTATATATTTTTAAAATCTATATCTTTACAGATATTAATTATAATTATATATTTATATTATATTATTTAAATAAAAGTAGCAAATTCTTTATTTTTATTAATTACTTAAAATTATATATAATAATCATACTTGAATTTTAATACACAATAATATTTAAAATTTCATATTAGTCTTTATATAAGGGGAATTACACATATTACGTAATATTCTGTTTAATATAAACTTACTCCCCTCCCTCTCCTTGTCAGATTTAATAACCAATCAAATTATAATATTTATAAATCATATAATTTTATTAAGTGCAATGTAAGATTTTAGTTATTCCCCTCCACCCTTTAATAATTACGTAATATATGTAAGCTCCCTAATCATATTAATTAAAAAATTTAAAAAAGGAAATTTTAATGATTATCTATATAATTATATCAAGCTGTTTCAATTTAATTATTCAATATCCAGATTTTTTGAAAAGTTTAAAAAGAAAAGAAGTGTTTATTAAACAGATTAAATAAAATAAATATAATAAAAGAATGTTTCTAAATCACCAGTGACTGAAATTATGATAATTAACCAATATTAAAAAAATATAAGTACTGGTAAAATTTAATAATAGTGATAATCACCTCCAGTGATTTAAAGTAAAAAACTTTGAAAAATTTATAATATTATATTTAAATTTAAAGAAACTGAAAATAAAATATTATATTAAACAAACAATCAAATTAAAATATAGTTTTATATAAATTAAACTATAAAAAATTGAAATCATTTAAATTCTTCATATTATATAACTCATAAGTATTATATTATATATATGTAACTTAATATATTCTTTTTTTTTAGAAGTTTAATTCATAAAAATTTGAAAGATTATCATTCCAATAGATTACATTTTTGTTAAGGTTACTTATCTAAACTTCTCCAAAATTTTACAATTAGTTTCTTTAAAATTTTACTATAAGGTATACATGCTGCCCAAATTATTTTGGGATGTCATAATTATAATTTAGGATGCCGTAATTCATTCAGTTTATATATAATTTACTATGTAAGGCACTGGTCAGAATAGTCCATTTTGGCAAAATTTTAAATTGCCGATTGTTAGACGAAATTTAGTCTGACCTTAGCCGATCAGTACTAAAAAAATCGGCAACTAATTTTATAGGCGATTTGCACCATAACACCTGCCACTTGTCAACAAATCGATCAGTAAAATTAGTAACAAATCGGTAAAACCAAATTTGACGATTGTTAATAATCAACTTAATTATTACCGATTTTGTATATTTAGTATATTTAGCTAATTTTAATTTGTAATAACAATTTATTAATTAAATTATATTAATTTGCTTTAAATATTAAAATTACATATTAAATCTATCTACTATCCGTCGTCCACCATTCCACCATTCACTACACGCACCCGCTACATTATCCACTATCCACCACCATCCTTACCACCATCCTTACTGACCCAATAAAAGTCTAATAGGACCCCGGATATCTAATATAAAGGTCATAATGGACTTTTGGCCAAAAACACCCTTTTTGCTGAAACTCAAAAAATCGTTTTTTGTAAATATCTCAGCATCCAGTAATTCAATTTTAATGAACTTTTTTTTTATTTTGTAGCCCTCATTTAGCTCTACAATTTAAAAAAAAGTTCATCAAAATTGGACCACTGGATGCCGAGATATTTACAAAAAACGATTTTTTGAGCCCCTGAAAAATGGGCCAATCTGCCGAAAGTGTGACTTATGACCTGTTTTGGAGATATCCGGGGTCCTAGTCTAATTCACAAAGATCCGGAAACCTACAAAACAAAAAAAATAAAAAACGGTTAGTAAACCATCCTTTAAAAAAAAAATTTAGTTTCGAAAATAAACTTACCGCTCATTCAACAAAAATCCAAAGAAAACCTAAGTAAAAAATAAAGAAACGGTTAGTATACCGATTTTTTAATAAAAAAATAAGTTTCAAAAATTTTTAAAACTTTACCTGGAATATCGGTATCCACACTGGAACTGATTTCCTACAAAAAAATATAATAAAAAAAAGTTTTTTAGTATAAAAACTTTTTTTTTTAAAGAAAGTTTCAAAAATTTTTCAAAACTTTACCTGGGAAACAGTATCCACGCTGGAACTGATTTCCTACAAAAAAAATATAATAAAAAAAAGTTTTGAAATTTTTCAAAACTTTACTTGGGAAACAGTACCTATACAGGAACTGAATTTCTGCAAAAAAAATAAATAAAAAAAATCATTTTTTGTTATTAAAAACGTTTTTTTAATAAAGTTTCGAAATCTTTTGAAACTTTATTTATCTGGAATATCGGTATTCATACCAGAACTGAATTCCTACAAAAAAAAATAAAAAAATAACATTTTTTATATTAAAAACCGTTTTTTTTTAATAAAGTTTTGAAATCTTTCAAAACTTTATTTACCTGGAATATTGGCATCTATACCAGAACTGAATTCCTACAAAAAAAAACAATAAATAACGTTTTTTATATTAAAAAACGTTTTTTTAATAAAGTTTCGATATTTGAAACTTTTTTTACCTAGGGAAATGGTATCCATGCCGGAACCGAATTCCTGCAAAAAAAATAAATAAAAAAAATCATTTTTTGTTATTAAAAAATGTTTTTTTTAATAAAGTTTTGAAATCTTTTGAAACTTTATTTACCTGGAATATCGGCATCTATACCAGAACTGAATTTCTACAAAAAAAAAATAAAAATAACATTTTTTATATTAAAAAACATTTTTTTAATAAAGTTTCGAAATTCTTTAAAACTTTTTTACCTGGGGAAACGGTATTCACATCGGAACCGATTTCCTATAAAAAAATATAAAAAAAAATCATTTTTTAGCTAAAAAACGATTTTTTTAATAAGTAAGTTTCGAAAATCTATCAAAACTTCATCTAGGAAAACAGTATCCACGCTAGAACTGATATCCCTACAACAAAATAAAAAAAAACGTTAAAAATTAACGTTTTTTATATTAAAGTTTCGAAAATTTTTGAAACTTATCTTTGGGATTCGGTATTCACGCTGAAACCGATATCCCTATAATTAAATATAAAAAAAACATTTCATTAAAAACGTTTTATTAAAAAAGTTTCGAAACTTTAGTTTTAAAACTTACCTGGAATATCGGCGTCCACGTTGAAGCCGATTTCCTATACAAAAATGAAAAAAAAAATGTTTTTAATATTTTTTTTATAAAGTTTCAAATTTTTTTTGAAACTTATCTGGAACATCGGTATTCATGCCGAAGCCGATTTTCTGCAAAAAAAAATAAAAAAAATGTTTTTTTACGTTAAAACATTTTTTTTTAAAAGAAAGTTTCGAAAGAGTTTTGAAACTTACCTAGAATATTAGTATCCACGCCAGAACCGATTTTCTTTGCAAAAAAAAAAATAAAAAGAAACGTTTTTTAATTAAAAAATGTTTTTTTTTAAGAAAGTTTCGAAATTTTTTGAAACTTTACCTAGGGAAACAGTATCCACACCGAAACTAATTCCCTAAACAAAAAATATTTAAAAAAACGTTTTTTAGTTATAAAACGTTTTTTTTTTAAGAAAGTTTTGAAAATCCTTCAAAATTTCACTTAGAGAAACGGTATCCATGCCAGAACCGATTTTCTTCACAGTGTATAAAAAGAAACATTTTTTTAATGTTAAAAAACGTTTTTTTAAAGAAAATTTTGAAACTTTTTTGATTTAATTAAAAGTTACCGAATTCAATGTGTACATTTACATAAAGAACTAAGGTGTAAGAAAGAGAAGGAAAAGGACAAAGAGAAGGAGGAAAGGAAGCGAAAGGTTCAAAAAGTTTAAAAAAGTTTGTTTAAAAAAGACCTGTAAAATGTCGATCTGGATCATCTGATGATTTTCAGTTATTTATCAACTGATTTGCCGAATTATTGCCAATTAGTTATTGATTTTTACCGTTTGGCAAATTTGGCAAAATTGTGTTGATTTATATGACCAATCGGTATAATTTCACTGAATGATCTTAAAGGAACAATTTTTCATATAACAATTGGTATAAGTTGATTTTTTACCAAAAGACTGAACAAATATCCGTTTAACAATCGATTTGTGATTGATTTTAACAATTTTTGCCATTGGTCAAAAAATGTGATGAATCACATGACCAATCGGCAAAAATTATGCTGAAAGCTCTTAACAGGACCCCGGATATCTCCAAAACAGGTCATAAGTCACACTTTCGGCAGATTGGCCCATTTTTCAGGGGCTCAAAAAATCGTTTTT